AGAGGGAGAATTAAACTGTCGATGGAAATTGAATGTGCCTTATCTGGAAATAAAAAAGAACGGCAATGATAATACTATTGATCATTATGTTACAATTATAACGATGCTTCCACTTCCACTAATGATAATAATAATAAAATAATAATGATAGTGGTTGTATCAAAGATAACAATAATAAGAGTAATAATAAATAGTAATAATAATAATAGTAATAAAGATAATGATAGCAATAATCAAAGAAAAATGGCAAAATCAACACTTAAAAAAAGGAAAAATAACTCAAAGAGCAAATACCTGTCTATGTAAACCTTCGAGCGAAAAATTTAAGACTTAACCCTTCTTTAATCTGATGATGTGCATGGTATTACTCTGGTATGATACTGATTTTACAGGCCTTTTGTGAATGGTAAGCAGTTGCAGATTTTTCAACCGCATGTAAGTCTCACATAAAAAAGCTATATGCATCCTATTTTGACCACATTCATCAGGTAACTCTACTGTGCTTACAATGAAAATCAGGATTGGTTTACAGTCTATCGGGTAGCTAGAAATTCTTGATACGAATGCTTCACTTAATATTCTTTCTCGATCAAAAGCAGGTAACGTTTGATATCATGCCCGTTATTATTAAATCTTACTCACTATCTAGTTGACATTCGTTGCACCTCTTCTGTATACTTTTCCCATAACTGCCTTCCCATATCATGCCCCGTTATTATTAAATCTTACTCACTATCTAGTTGACATTCGTTGCACCTCTTCTGTATACTTTTCCCATAACTGCCTTCCTCCCTATTGTGTCCCGATCGCTTGCTTGATTGTGAAGTAACGTCACTGAAGAGAGGAGTTAACGACTGAGAAAGCTCAACGTTTGTAAGCCGCCGTTGTTCCGCATGGGAAGGGTCATGATCCACTTCAAGTTCCTCCAAACTCTTTTTGATCCCGTTAGCGAGTTCGTCGGCCGTTTCGCTCACAATTTTCTTAAATAAGTCGTCACTTGCAAATCTATTAAAATACCGCGGGTTCTCAGATCCAAACCGGTACGCGCCCCGTGAATTTATTGAAGTGAATTCGAGCTGAAAGAAGAATGGATGATAGATGTGAGGCTTACAGTGAATTGATAGATCAGTAATTTAGCCATAACCTTGATTGAATGGGAATTTAGAGTCCAATGTAAGCGATAAATGTATACTATATACTTTAAATCACATTAAGTTTCTTCTTGGGAGGTAATGCTCCAGATTCTTCAGCAACAGAATCTGATGAATCTTGGTATGATTCTGCTCCGATTATGTTTAAGAAATTTTCCACTCTTTTTCCTCCTCTATATAAATACACGGCTCCTGAATTCACTTAAATGCACCACAGTTTCGCTTCATTACTGCGCTTATCTTTTGGAGGCATCTTAAGTAGGTTAGTTTACGACCAAGGCTGATCAGTTCTAGGATACACTCCTGAAGACCTGAAGACCTCTTATCGCGAATCATCATTGCCTTTTTTATTTTTTTTATACAACTGAGGCAACAATAAAAGCAGTGATGAAAAGAGTCGTGATGAACTGCATCAAAGCAGTCAAAGCTTTTTACACCTTCAGAATAATTTTAAAAGGTGACATTTTCCTGTTAGAACCAGTCGACGCAACTTAGAAGCTGCCTTTATACTTCCTGTTTATACTAACTGTGATGCCTTGTCCACGCTATGCCTTTTAAATTTTGGTATTAAATCGTCGTTTCCTTCCAATCGTGAGAACGGTTAATTTTGTTTTCGCCCACAGTCCAATGACCTCTGGCGGTATCATTGGGCATATATACATAATTAAGTTTGAATCAAACAAAAACCGCGGGCGTTTTGAAAATAGCTCCATGTTCGGTTAATACTTGATCGACTTATGTGCACGGTAGGCTAGTCAGAGATTTGAAGTAGCGATTTGAAATTTATCCACTTTGAAAAGAGGCAGTAATGGCCATAATGCGACGTGACCAAGAAAGCCTCATGGGGAGTCCGTTCCGGTCTCTCTTTACCTATATTCTCAAGAAAGAAAAGTGTTTCATTTCTTTCCTTCATCTGACAATTACCAGTGCGACTAAACACACAACAGTAAATGGCATTTTCAGTAAATCACCCCGCAGTGAATCAAAGTTAAGTCTACTAGTGAAGTATACGTATACCGTGCTCGACAGCGCCTAAATGCCTTTTCTGGTTTTTAAAGCAAAATTTAGAGGCGAGACATGGGGTGAACGAAACTTGCGAACGAAAGCCATTAGCGTGTTAGAATTGATTTTAAACGGTTTGGCTATTGTTCTACGGTACAAAACCACCTCGCTTCCTTTAATCTCTCTGAAATATCCACGGATATTTACCAGCGGAAATATTTACCACGGTAAGCACCAGGCTCGGTTAGTGTCGAATAATCTCAGTTAATGCAGCCTCCCGCGGTAAAAGTAGTTAATGTCCCGTGCAAATGCGCTCAACACAGGAAAGTATAGGAACTGATAATGCTTTTACCATTTCTGAGAGCATGATCTTGCTTTATCTCCACTATAATTCGCAAGCTGTCCCTTGCGAACTGAATTCCCAGGAATTCTCAAAAATTCCCAATTATGCAAATAACCCTTGCCAACCAAATTCCCAGTTTTCTAGGAATTCTCAAAAATTCCCAACTATGCAAATAAGCTCTGATTTGAAAAGCTTAGAATTACTGGGAATGGAAGACTCCAGTTCTGTGAGGACTTGGAATTCCTAGGAATTCCTAGGAATTCTCAACTATACAAACCACTTATAATTTAAGAAGGGTGGAATTCTTGGGAATTTCTGGGAATTGAATTTGAAGCAATTTAAATACCCTGAGGTCCAAATTAATTCCAAGAAATTCTCAATACCTTGACTGTGACGGTTTTAAGCAAAAGGAGTAATTCTGAGAGGCTTAAAACTTTGGCTCAATAAAAAGTATGCAATAAAAAATTTACCAAAAGATATACATACATGTATATGTTTATAACTTGAAGATCATGAAACTTATTATTCAAACTAAGTTTTAGTAATTCTCTACATTAACTTGGATTTTCTCATGAAGCAGCAGTCAATTATGTTAAATGCAAATTGCCAATTAATCCAATCTACTCATATCACAGATTTGCTTTCTAATCTCAAAGGACTCTTGGATTCCATGATCATAAAAGTTTTTATTGTGATGCAAAATGTCTCATGTTCACAGATGTGCCAAACTCATTAAACATTAATCAGCTGTTCCTTAGTGCACAACTTCCACATGTGTAACAGTAATTACATTGTTATCCACACTTAAAGAACTTTGTTAGTAATAAACATAAGTTACTTCCCTAATCTACATTACTGGTTTCCTTTGTTAGAAAACCTTGGAACAGTCAAGTTCAGTTGCCTCAAACACTGTCAGAGACTTTCTGTTTGCATTATTTTTAGTAGAAATTTCATGCCATAGACAAACAAATTCAACAACTAATTAATCTTCCTTTTTCCATGATTGTTGTTACTGGTATTTTTTAGTTTTTTTGCTCTGCTTTTGTGACTGATTACTGTTATTTGTTTTGCTGTTTTTATTCTTACAAAACATATTTGTAAGAGTTCCAATACTTGTGGATCATCTGCACACTTGGCAAATGGTTGGCATGTAGAAAAGATCACCATGTATATTTCATGGTCGCTATCAGGTAAATTTTGCCGGACTTTGAGTTCGTCTCGAGATAGAACAACACGAATACACAAGGAAATTTTTACAGTAACTTTATAACCATCCTTTTATCTTTTAAAAACTTGAAGCTCAGTAGATTCTGTCATATCGGTCATTGTTAAAACTGTCTTTGATTTGATGCTACTTTTGGACATAGGAAAAGTATGTCGGACAAAAATATTCACCGAAAAAAAAGTTTCTTTGCCAGCTTCAATAGTGACAGTGGATTAATTTTTAGATGATAAAACAAAGTATTATGTTGACAGAAATGCAGAAGGTCGAGAGGAATCGTTACATGAGGTCACACAAGTCGGGTAATATTCACGATGAAAATTTGCATATTTGAGCGGTCGAACGAAAAAAGTCATTTCTCGATAACTAAAATATATTTCCACAAAAAAACTACACCACAATTATTAGAACATATTGGGCTATAAAAGGTGAAAGTTAGAGTGAAAACGAATTCTGAGCGACTTGCCACAATATTTCAAATTTGTCCGATGGATGCTGACATCCTCTCTTAGAACATACACTAAATTCTGTTGAGCTTGGATTAGTTTTCCAAGGCTTCTAAACAGCTGTCGATATTCTTGTTAGAAAGCCTCTCTGCCCATCGATGAACGCGGAAAAGTCGCTCAAAGAACCAATTCTTGTCGCTTATCGAGTCCTGTTGCTATCTCATAATCGCTCCATTGCTGCTCGAAAAGTCCCAGTTACCAGCAACGTCACCATGACACTTCATGGGAATTGGTGGCGGAAAATTATATGTAATAACTTGATGATAAATTGGCGAAGTAGGTTGACCTGAGCTAAGTGCTGGCGATGATGGCATGGCTATTTGCACACCCGACTCCACGTTGTCGTTGTCTGCCGGCATTTTCTCACACTTTGAGCACAAGATTTATTCTGAAATGACGAAGAATAGAAAGAAACAGCATCAGGAAGGCACCTTCGGCGTCTGGTGTTCGAAAGAAGGTGCAGAATCCTTAAATAGTACACTTTTTCTCCTGACGCCATTTTAATACAGCTGCCAAGTGACGCAAGATTCATATATCGAAACAATCGCCACGTTAGGAAACTCACTGTCCTTATTATGTATTCCAATTATTCGTATCACCTTCATCGCTTTTATTTTGCTTATGATGGAATGTTTTCTTTACATACCTTGACGATGCCGTAGATCGGCGATAGCTTGGAATAAAAAAAGAAATGCAGTAACTCAAGGTCTCAATCGAATCGTCCGTTTAATCGACATGCAACTGAAACTTTAAAACTTTAATTATCATCCATGCATATAAAAATTCTGATTGGTCGAGAGCATACAGTCAATAGAAAGAAGCCATGAGAGGTTGGTTGTCTCAACTTCATCAAATAGTCGTTTTATTTCTGTGTGTTGTATTCGTGCCACGTTGTACCATAAGGCTGTATCGTTGAGTGGGGGTATAAAGAACGTCACCAGCGCTCTTATCTCTGTTAGGTAGGTATATTTGCATAAGTTTGACTGGTTCTTAGTCGTAAACGTCGTCCTTTACCTTAACTGTTTCCGTACGGAAGACTGAGAATGAATCGAGCTGGCTCAAAGGAAGCTTTTCATTCATTGTTTAACAATCTAGAGGCAGTTAAAATATTTTTTTTCGAGTTCTGCGCAAGCTTGAATCGCAACAGCGTTCTTATAACCTGATGTTCGCTCGCATTATTTACTAAGGGTTTATAGTCATAGATGCAATGTTGCTTACAGCTGTGGGCTTTATCTCAAACCTTAACTGTTTCACACAAAGCTGTATGGAGACTGAAAAGAAATTGAGCTCGTTTGAGAAAGCTCTTAACTCGATGTACAAAAACTTAGAAGATATTGATATCGTTTTCTGAGGACCGTGTCAGCTCGAGTCTCACTCTTAGGATCTGGCCCCGGTTGTTCAAAGAATGGAAAACTACTTATCCGCTGGATAAATCGCTATCCAGTGGATAAATGTTAACCATGGCGTCATATCGGTTGTCCAATGTATGGATAGCGCTATCCACTCGCTATCCATCAGATAAACTTATCCATGGTTAGGTAGGTAGTATAAATTTCTATCCATCGGATAGTAAAAACATTAAATGGCCGCTGCTCGAGGTTGACGGTCATTTCGTTCCATGGTCAGGGCGTAAACCAGAACAGGTTTCCCTCGCGAATGATAATGTTGAATCTACAATCACTTCGCATCGAGCGCTAACAAACACGTAGGCTACGTAGTACTTTATTGAATATCCTCTGTTCTATGTTGTCGTCAAAAATCGACAGACATAAGCTCTCGATATTGCGTGTATTCATTCTAACATTGTTGCGCAACGCACGCTGAAATTAACATACGACGCTCTCACTGTTATATAAATAGTACTGAAAATACTTTCGTTCATGTTCTGAAAATATATATCATTTATTTCGAACGAAGTGAATTTTTTTGTGCAACGAACCGACTATTTAGTGGAACGATCTGACTTATAACCATCTGACCCTGGAACGGAATGACTGGATACCTCGCTCGACAGCTACATCCTCTTCGGTATAACTGCCCGAAAATCAACGTCGTATAAAGCGAAGAATTTTCGCTGCCAGCTAGATCCCTCAGAGTCTTATACTGACTCTGAATTGAGATCCAGGTTTCGTTTTGGACGAGAAGCAATACAATACATCGTTAACCTTGCTGCGTACGAAATAACATCACAAACACATAGGAACAACGCCGTCTCAGCCATAATGCAAGTCCTTGTCCTCGCCTCGGGTTCGTTTCTGCAAGAGATCGAAGATACTTTTCTAAGATTTGATGAGTCGACTGTCAGCTGAGTAGTTTTTGTCGTGTGACGCAAGCATGAAGTTAGGCGATTACTTAAGATTTCCGTCCACCTGTGCGGAACGAGACGACATTAAAGGTTTGTTTCGAGTCAGTAGTTTCCCTTCTGCCATTGGGTTCATCGATGATACTACGTTAGAATAACTGCACCTCACGAAATTGAGCCAGACTTAGGGAACCGAAAAGGATTTCACTCCATCAAAATGTCAAGGCAATCTGCGACCATCGAGGTAAGCAAATATGTCTAGCTCTGATTGTTGATTTTGCAAAGGGCAACATGTTCGATTAACCCTAAGCTTTACTGTGCATACTATCTCATGTAAATAACAGGAGTTATTTTATCCTAAATGTGGGCATGAAAGCCGTAAAAATTCCGTATCAAATGTGGAACGCTTTTCTGACACGGTAGGAGCAATGTGCGTCAGATTGTCTTGAGCACAACATGTGATCAAACATGTGATCACGAGATTCACGCAGATACAATTTACCTCGTAAACAAGTGAGTGAAATTGATTTAAAATGATTGACTTTTCGAACTGTGCGATCACCCGTTTGATTCTATAGCTATCAGGTGTAATCGATTTTGTTTTTGCAAATGGGCATTGGGTCTTCCGATGGCGAGAGGACAACAATGAAAATATTCTTCGGTGATCACTTAATGTGTTCTCCAACATGGATATTTTTTTAATGGACTGCGTTAGTTCAAGTGCTGGAACAAAGCATTACAGAGCATTCTCCCGTTAAGTAGCATTGTTTAATAACGTGCAATATTTGTCGTTGCTTAAAGATATAGGCCAAGGAATGTCTTGAAGTTTACCATATCAAGAAAGGGATAAATTGCTTAGGCTTAGGGTAATTAATTGTTGTCAGTTACGAACTGCAGTTCATTGTTAGCAGCAATCCCATTCCGAATACTTTATTTTGACAAAATGAATGAAGTAATCCCGCGATTACTGCTTCAAATTTGGGGCCTATGTGTATGCACACATTATGACAATTTTGTGGGAAGGAAGGCACATGCAGAAATACCATATACCTAAGCTGTATCAAAATTTTGTTTACATAACATAAAACATAAAAGTTAAAAACCAGTCGTAGTGTATTGAATACAATTGAATTTTGCAGGAATGTTTACAGATGTCGTGGTTTGATGACCTGGTTCAACTCATGATAGCCATATTTTCTGGACATCAGCCACAGGGGGTAACCTTGAAGAGACTGGTCTCACAGATGTTGTGCTACTTGAGAATAGTGGCTATGCATGCTCACCATTCCTCATGACCCTGTACCTCAACCCCAAATTAGACCTTAAGAGGAGCATTTCAACAGAGCACACAAGATCACAAGATGTATCATAGAGCAAACTTTTGGATTGTTGAAGAGGAGATTCCATGTGCTACACTCAGAATTGAGGATGGCTCCTAACAGGGTATGCACCATAACTGTAACTTGCTGCATCTTACACAACCTCGCTGTCAACTTAAGGGTTCCAGAACCAGGGAACTGTGACATGGATGATGAAAGGTGTGCTGCTGACCTTCACACCCAGTACCCTGGCTGTGAAACTGGTAATGCTGTTAGAGAGTACACTGTTTACGACTTTTTTACATTTCTACACAGGTGGCTGATACTAAAACGTACACTTGATTGCAATAATGTTGACACAATGTAAATAGCATGATTCGTGAACAATGAGAACCAATGGCTTTATGGGAAATGTCCACATATATGTATATGTATCTATAGATACATGATCGATGCTTTACTTTTTCATGATTCACTTATATAGGAAGCCTGTGGAAAAACTTGGACAACCTTCAAACCCATATTTTAAATGAATTAAATTTTCATTTCAGTCTTTTGGCGGTGATGGAAACAAGAATTAAGGACAGAATGTGGCCAACCTTACCAAATTACAATTTTGAATATGTTCCCATGCCTCTTTCTGCTGGAGGTGTAGGAATGTATGAAGACAACAATACATGATACAAAGTCATTGTAAAAAACCTCTAATAAGCCTTTTAAGACACTTTGGCTTGAAATTATATTCACTAAGAAAAGCAGTATTATTTGTGGAGTTGTCTACAGACTACATAATTCTGCAGACCACCTCTTAGAATATTTTGAAGAAACTGTAGATCAATATAGTGCCACTGATAAATCAATCTACCTCTTAGGTGACATCAACATCAATATTCTTCACTCAAAGACTTGTAATTACACTCAGCAATTTTAAATTGCTTACAAAGCTATGCTATTTTACCAACAATTGATAAACCGACAAGGGTCTATAATAACTCTGCCTCACTTATTGATAATATTTTCTTAAACAAATTTGAATATTATACTGCCAGTGGGAATATTGTTTCAGATCTCACCAATCATTTTTCTCAATTTTGCATTCTTAAATCGACCATTGAAACCACCAAACCTTAAAAAAATGGCAGCCCATGACTATTCAAAATTCTCTTAGCAAAATGTTTTTGCAGGAATTGTCAGAACTCACATGGTAGTCATTACCATCTGCTGAGGACCCCTCCAAGTTATTTTCCACCTTTTATAATAAGCTAAATAAGCTGATAAACAGGCATGCACCATTCTGAACTTTATAAAAGCATGAAAGTAAACAGCTGAAACAACCTTGGATCACTAAGGGAATTCAAAAAGCAATAAAAATTTAAAAATGAGCTTTTTCTCCAGCAATTGGAGACTATTGCATAGACAACTGCAATAGACAAATTTTGATAGATTGAAAGAATTAACTCATATGTTGTCCATACTTTAATTGACAAATTTAGAAAATTATAATCTTTTTAGTTTCTTTTGTTGTTGTTGATTTTTGGTGTAATTTTATTCCAGTTTTAGTATATAACACCTAATTGGCTTATCTATAACTTTCCTTAACTGTTCTTCATTGCTCGTGTATATGCAGGCTCACCCAGTCATTTCCTCTGTTCAGTCAAACTTGTTATTGAAGAATTTATTTTATGTTTGTTTCCCTCCTGCCTCAATTAGCTTTGCTATTTTGCAAGTAGGGATTGTTAGATATGTATTTTATTTAATTGCTAAAATGAATAAATGTTGTTGTTGATTCCTGGAAATCTAAGATGATGACAAATCTTTTTTTTTTAGAGAAAGTATGAATGGCTTCTATATTCTACGCACAACTAATTGTGGTTATCATTTACATTTGTAACTATAATGCCATTGGCTTATTTGCGCCTTTTAGGGGTCAGTGTTTTTGTAATTGAGTGTATACACTTGAAAGAAATAGTGACACTCACTATAGGCTTTTTGCAATAGTCCAATGTATATCCTACCTTTCATAATGGCATTGGGGTAATATGGCATTAGGCATTAAGGCAATTATAAGGCATTAGGCATGCTTGCTAGCATGCCTGAAATCTTTTATATTTCACCCAAAGATAAAGAAAAAATTGCACTGATTTTTGTAGCACTTGGAAAAGGAAAATTTTAGTGGAAGGCAAACAATTTGCACTTCACAACAAAAGCATTGAATGTCTACCTCTCGACGCTTAGAGGTAATTGTTAGAAAGTTTGCATTCTGGAAGTTGGAGTTTGATATGGTCATTTCTTGAATTCACACAACTCAAGTGGTAGATTTACCAGTTATTTCTTAACACAGTAAACTGCAAGATGCCTATTGTCACACTTGTATGACAAATATATGAAAAAAGGGAAAAACCAAGAATAGTGAAGATGATACATTTGATGATGTCAACAAGTCATTTTTATTCACTGTACATAGTTTGTTGAACACAAAGTGAGGAAATGACTTCAAATTAAAGTTTGGTTTTAACATCAATTCACATCTTATAACTGAAGATTTTTTTTTAGTTGTATTGACTACACCAAAAGTGCCATTGTAAGTAAAGATTTCTGCATTCAGCACTGGGGTATTACATGGAATGATCAATGACCTTTAAACTTAATTGCATATAATTGTACAAATATTTTATAATAATGCCCTCTGTTTTTCTAAATATGAATATATATTTAAATGTGGAAAAGTTTGAGGTAAAAAGTTCACTTCCACAAGTAAAAATAGCTCAGAAAAAAGGTATAGAAGGTTTAGGTTTTAAAGCTCTGTCAATGTGCAGAAAGTCGTGTTTGCTGATTTTGCCTTTTTCAAAAATTGGTGGGGCATTTGAACACAATTTTTTTCCTGGGGGTGGAAATTTCAACAAACCAATCTTTAAAAACTCAAATACCTAGGGAGCTGCCAGGAAAAAAATGAGGGGGGGGATGTTGAAGATTCCAATTGATTGATGTATTAGTAATAAAAGGTAACCAAATAAAAACCATTATGTGATTAAGCTTGTATACATTTATGGGTAAATGGTGTATCAGTGATTTGAAAATATGGGGCGGCTGACCGCAACAATCCAAATATTAACAGTTTCACAAGACATAATCAAAACCATTGCAATTTGATTAAGATTTATTCTTCTTATTTATTATTATTAGCCTCACTTCAGAGGTGAATAGTTGTTGTTGACATTACCAAAGATGAATAACACAACTTTTGGGTGAAAACTGTCCAATAACTTATGGCAATGTTTACAGCAGATGCTGTCCCAGATCATAACTTTGCAGTTTAAAAAGAAGCCCAGTGTATGAAAGTTACAAACAACTAAAGATTTGATTAAAATGGTTTTATAACTAAATATATGAATAAATAACAAGCTGCACTAAAATACATAGTGATCTAGAAGGAGTGAGATGGTCACCTAATGAGTAGCTCCCAGATTGAGGATCCAAAGGATACCAGAGTTTTCTCCAAAATGTGGTGAGTTTTCAATATACTTATTTAGTATAATTGTTCTGGTGATAAGGATTTCATGGTTTCCCCTTATAATCATCACGAGGAACAACAGAATTGCATAATTGAATAAAATCTCGCATTCTGATTGGTCAACAAAGTGAAGTATTTAGCATGGAATTGAGAGTTGAAAACGAAGTTAAGTGATATTGCTTCGCATCTAAATAAACATAACAATTATCGTCAAATTGTAACAGAGTTTTCTACAATGTCATTGTAAAGTGTTTTCAAAACCATTGTCACCTTTTGAACAAAAGCGTTTTTCAAAGTGAGCTAGAGGTTCTTCCCTGTTTTGAAATGAATTATAAATTCTTGGAGACACATAAAAAACCTCTTTTGCTCGTGACAACGAGAAAGCAAGAAAATCCTGTGAACCCGGCTCCAGAAAATGGCAAGCAAAAACTCAACTGAACAAGACGAAAAAGCGACAACAGAAGAAGTGCAAGGGTCGATTATCATATATGTAGAGGAAGAAATAAATACTTTTAATTGCAATGTTAAACTTTCAGTGCTTTTGCTTGGACACTTCATTTCTCTCAGTTTGCCACCAAAGAGGTAAAAGGTATATATTATTTTCGTTCTTAAGCAAATTATTTGGAAATTGAAGATGTTAAAGATAAACGGCTTGTTAATTCAGTGACATAGCACTATTATCCATTAGATAGTTTGAAGCTTGTTTAAAAAGTTTGTAAACAAATGTAAAAACAAGCATAAGGTGTCTGACCTGGCTTCCTATTTGCTAATGCAATGACAGTTCTGACAGTTGACTTTGAAATGGCTTTCTGGGGCGCGCGCTCAGGATAAAAACAAAACAATTTCCAGGATTTGTCCCAAGTCATTTTAAAATTTTAGAATCCCCGAGTTTTGTAGCAAATGATAATTATAGCCTTTCTAGAAAACTGATTTTAGTTCAAGTACACGCTTGACCTAGCTCATACGTCAAATGATTGACAAGTTTACACGTATGTGTTTATTCAGTCAATTTTGCCAAATTTAAACCGGGGCAAATTTTGTCGACGGTGCATCCGATGATTTGTCCGCTTCAGCCAAAATATTTCAAATACGGAAAAATCATTTGCACTTCTGAAATGTTGGCGACGACAGAAAATTTGTCTAAATAAGCAATTTTGATGCTAGTGTGAAAGGCCCTAACTCCACTTACCGTCAAAACAGCGCCGTACTCGATTGTTATCAATCAATAACGACCATCTGATGAAATTGACATGACGATTATCATCACGAAACGTTAAGCGTGAATAAAAAGTACGATTGAAGCAAAACCGCTCTTATGAAAGAAGTATTTCCTGAATATATATATATATATGTCTTGATTATAGTCTATCCTTGCGGTATAGTGCTCGATGCGTTCGCAGAGCGTGGTATATCTGAATGTTAGACAAATCAATAAGACATAACTTTTCTGTGACTAAGAGTCTCACGCTTACGCGATCATCAGACAGATTTTAATTAAAACCTGTCTGATGATTGCGTAAGCGTGAAACTCAGAGTCACAGAAAAGTTGTCTTATTGATTTGTCCAACTTTCAGACATATATATATATATAAAGCTCATGTAAGTTAACTATATTTTCATAGAATTAAAAAAACAACAACAATATTGAATAGGAGCAAAATAACTGAAGTAAATTAGGTATCAATCACACTTAGGTAAATTGCAATGGTTTGGATTAATTAATGGAATTTGATCCGGACTCGAGCTTCATAATCCTTAATGTTATTTCTTTCTCCTTTAGTTTTGGATTTTCAATTTCCAGGTCAAGTGTTAAATTTTCTTTTTTAAGGAAAGCAGGGTGCATTCCATTTATGTCATCGATGATGACCTTCTTCCTTGAATGTGGGTTGGCAAGTATTGCCGGCATCTGCAATAGTAAAGATGGAATGGTATCAGAATAGACACTGGAGTCGCAATCTAGCTTTGAAACTTCACAGGGGTTCGAGGGTTCACAGGGTGAAGTGACAGGCTGTAGTTTACATCCTAGTCCAAGAACTTCTGTATCCACTGTTGATGAGCTTAAAACTTATGCTGCATATAATTTGTACAAAATGTATGAATTCTTTAATTCTTTAGTTCTTGTGAGCAGTTCTACCATAAAGGGGTGTATGTATTTCCTTGAAAATTACTTAAGATAATTGGATGTAACACTCCTATTCATGTAGACAATACATTTGTTGACGTAAGTGGACTTACCAGAATCGACATCCCCCCGAAATGCCGCTGAAAGACGGGTCTGTTTCGAGAAGCTCGAAAATTTTGGCTGTGGAAGCCTTTGGGAATCTGGTCTTCTTTCTTGTAGTGGTACATTTGCTCATGTGTTCTTTCTTTGCTCCACTCACCATTCCTCTCCACTTTTCTTTCACTTCTATGACAGATCTTTTGGAAACTCCGAGCGCATTGACATTGTCAGTTATTACCTCCCATACTCGACTCTTGTGTTTTTTAGAAAGCGTCGCGGAAATTTTGCACTTAATTACTTTGATTTTTTTTTCCACTTCTTCGAAAATAACTGTCCATTCGGCAAGTGTAAACTTTCGTTTTTTAGTGCGCTTTGCCGGGGAAGAAGCAACATTCTCTGCCGTGTTTTCTCGCCACTAGGGTTATCACCATGGCAACTGCCTGTGCGGCGAGTTAGCTGTCGGATAACTATACGCCTCGCTATCTGTGCCTTTTGCAACAGCTTTTTAAACCGCTGGATAGCCATCTTATAGACCGGATGAGCTTATCCAATGGATAAATTTATCCATCCTTTTAACAACCGGATGTTTGATGTTTGCTCTGATGTTATTTTGTAGAGGTAGAACGGTTACATTAAGATCGGCACCAAGTGAAAGGACTAGTACCCGCGACTCGAAGCGAGAACTAGGTCCCTTCAAATGAACTACCATCTAAATTTTTCATCAGATGGTCTGATCGTAGGGTCCAGAATGTAATCCTTGCGACTTGTCCCGCGAATTCGAACTGGTTTGAATTCGTGAGAGAAGTCGCAAGAACTTGTCTCCCCAAATTATCCAGGTCCCTGCGTGTGAACTGTTCGTGGGACAATTCCTTGCGACTAAATGAAACAATCCAATCAATTCAAAAGAGAAATATAATCGTTTGTCTCCCGATGTGGTCACTTCGGATGCGGATTGCGACGATTGGACTGCATACTGCCAGCTTCACCAGCCGAGGAAGACTGGCAGTATATGTGCAGTCGAAATGTCGCGATACACATCCGAAGTGACCACATCGTGAGAGAAACGATTTTATCATGTAAACTACGGTGTTAAACAAGGATTTTCAGCCCGGAGAAAAGCCGTAACAACTCGTAAAAAAATACGATACCGGTTAACCGCTAAATACAGGTTCCACTTATTAACGGTATTATAGAAAAAGGTACAAAACGCCACTTTATGCCTTAAGTGACTACTTACTTTACAGAATCTCGCTTAAAAATGCTACTTTGTTTTTGGAGGAGAAATATGAATTAAAAATTACTTGAAAGATGATTCTTAGTTTTATTTTGGAGGTTCAGTTTTCAGTGACCGTTCAACGCAAACAGGCCCTACGATCCCTTATTGAGATGATCGCTTAATAGGGGTAAGAATTACAATGATAAAGGGGAAATTTTTTGAGACTTTGCTGACCGACCGCTGAATACGGGGTTACCACTTAATACGGTGTCGTTTAATACAGATTCGACGGTTTTTCAAATTTGGTTAAAAATACTTTGTGATCTAAGACAGTTACTTTTCAGAAATTTCTCAGTAGTATAATGTTTGTAATGGGTGGATCGCGATATAAAACCAGTCGGAATTTTAAGACGCCAATACCACATTACATTGGCGGCTAGCTGGTTGGGAGAAAATATATTGTTATTGTCATTGAGCTTCGTCGCCATGCGACTCTTCCCAATACTACAATATATTTCCCCTCGATTAGCCACCAATACAATTCAATAATGGCGTCTCAAAATCGCGATTTTTATTCGATTGCATCCTTCTCTACCATACGAATAAATATTTTTATTATCCGCAGGTTTAAACGTTTATGACGGGGTGACTCTAAACAGAACCAAAATGATCTTCATAACGAGAGGTAAAGTTAGCATTTTTTCGATTTTTATCCTTGGTTTGACCACCTTTCTCATGTACGCCTCATACCAAGTGAAGTTCGGACAAGATATTAGCCAACCAACTCACAGCAACAGCACAATAGGTAAGTCAAGGATTTGGAAATGATTTACAGCATTAGATGCTCATCCGATGAATTATGCCGTCAAAATCTAAATTAAGACGCAGGCAAATATTAAGGAAATTAAAAGTAACATAACTTAGTTCGAACAAGGAGAAATAACAACGCTTCCGAAAGTTTAACAGGCCTACTTACGTCGTGTTGTCCCGTTCACAGTTCACCAGAAATTAGCCCTTCGCGATGTAATGCGATCGCCGATTCAAAATAACAAACTGAAGATCGTTTTAAATTCGTTTTCAAAATTAACTAGCGTACAATGATCACCCTGGGCGACGATGGGTGATTACCGTAGAGAACACGCCCCTGATCAGTTAGCCTTGGCTGTTCCGGTGTATCGGATTTTAGATCGCTCTAGCGCTCTGTCAGTTTCGAGCTAGTCACTACCCACATTACCCTTACTGGTTTACTTTGTTGATCTCTAGCGGCGTTCTCGAAGGGTCAGTGCCCCCTTTCAGTTTGAGTAGCATAACCAATTCAACAGCATAAGCAAATTAAAGCGCAACTAGCGGTATGAGTCTCCAACATATGCATGACAACAAAGATGAAATTGAATACCAAATGTTTCCAACTCATGTTCAGTTTACCACCTATGTGAACACCTAAGAGTGTGCAGGTGATAGAAGGCTCTATTGGTGTTACATCAAGCAAGGAAGTTGACATTGTCTTCCTCTGTTTGTTTGTGTTGAGAATTGGATCTTCTGAATATTTAGGATTCCCTTTTCTTGGCGTTTAGAAAAGGCCCTTGTCATTATATCTGGGTCGAGAATACCTGCGTTCAAGAATTTAATTATTTTGGATGTCAGAATTACGTCAATTAGAGTGTCGTTATTTGTCGTAGCTCTAGTTGGCGTACTTACAAGCCTTTTTATATTGTAATCGTCGCATAGGTTTAGCAGATGTCTCCCCAACTTTGCCGCTCCTTGTAGGGTTCGAGAATGTTACAATTCACATCTTCAATTAGTGTGTAATCGTCCGAAAGCCTACTGATCAATTCAATTGGTTGTTCCCGTTCGGATGACCAGATTTCTTTAGCCATTTTGGACGGTCTGTAAAGACGAACCCAAAATAGATCTCAGTCTATGAGTCCCTTTGAGTTCTGACCTCAATGTTAATTGATTCTAAACCAACGAACTGTTTCAGTATTTTTAACGCGCTTAGTTTAAAGGTTGGACCTTGCACAAATTATGAAGCCACCTTTGAAATTTGTTTTATCGTGTCGATTTGGCTTGGAACCTTTAGCATAAAACTGAATATCTGGATAGCTGTCATCGAATTTGGTCTCAGAGAACTAAAATATCTAACAAATTGTCTATCAGCATGTTCCAACCTCGAATAGCTTTATTCCATCGGTGCTATTTGTTTCCTTGTTATAGGAAGAAGCGAGATAAACAAGCTCGAAAGTGCCGCCAAGGGAAAAAATTCATCTCTAAAACTTCGCTCATCGTAACTGGTCTTATTTCATGCTTCTCGAAATTGGTTCTTTTCTTTGTTTTTTTCTTTTTTTTACTTGTTTCTTCTTTTCCAAGCAAGGTAATCACTCTTGAAGTTATTTCACTGGAGAGATCCCCAATCGCTGCAACAACGTAAAAAGCGTAATAATTAACCATTTGCAAAGTTCTACACTGAATCAATTTCCCTCTCTAGTATTGAATAAATAACTCTGGTTAGGTCAGAATTGATTTCGAGCGCTTCAAAATAAACTTCAACATTTTGTTTATCGCAGATGAGATCGTCTCTCGAAAGGTTGTTCTAACTCAAGCTACAGCCACGGAAAAACCCACAAATAATTCATCGCGAAAGCCTTTCATTTACCTCACTCAAACAGAACAATGCCTTCCCTCAAACTTTGCCTCTTCTTCCGAGATCGGCGACCCCGAGACATGTAACTGTGATGTCATGGTGCTAAGCTTTCGTACCAAATGTCAAGTGCAAAAGTCGCCTCACATCACTTATCTGTTCTATCCCAATACTGGATGGGGAACGGGACGAAATGTGCTGTATTTTGCTGCCATAACGAGATCTCCAAAATACCATTATTACATTTTTATGGATGAGGATGTGGTGCTGCATTTCCATTCAATTGCTCCTCCACAAATGAAGAGGCTTCCGCCGTTTAGAGTCTTCGAACAATGGCTCCTAGATTACGAGCCAGCAGTTGGCATTGTGAATTACTCAGCGCATCATAAGGGCATCTGGGCCATTGAGCTACGAAAGAAAATGTGTAACAAGAGGGACAGTCCCCTTGTGATACCTATACTATGGTTCGATGCTCTTTTCAATGCATTTCATTATAAATCTATTGAGCATCTCTTCCCTTACCGTACGCAGTATGAAAGCAAATCCTGGTGGTCATCGCAATACTACATGTTTTCTGCTGTGGAACTGGTATTTCGAGGTCAGGCATTGATGTTTGTGCCCGTTATTGCGGGAAATCCAAAACATCGCCCATACCCAAGGTCTATAGAGAACGAAAACACAAGGTGGAGAGATTACATCGATACGATTCGACAGGAAGCTCCTTTAATTTACAGAAATCAGACTTTATTCGAAGATTTTAGGCAGAATCTTGAGGGTTACGTCGACAACTCGACAACATATTGCATGAATGTAACACGGCGTCAACAAATTAAACCATACAGTCATTTTGATTTTTAGACAGAGAGGTATTTGATGAGGTTAGTGAAGAGGTAAACTATAGTTCAGCGATTTTCTTATTTTTTCTTATTCTAGGCCCAATTCGTGGATGAAATGCTGTATCCATTCAAATTATAGGCTGCTTTGTTTATAAAGTTGTTGAACTGTGAGTCTCATCAAAGTGATGTCCGTGAGGAAGAGTACGACTGAACTGCTCTCACATTGGGAATTAAACCATTTTTCACGTGTCGGTTGCACTCAGTTTATTTGCCGGGGAAGTATTTCCTGATCCATATTTTTTATTCAATATATGTGTGTTATGCTTTCTTTAGTTAATCGGCCTCATTAAACTGTTCAGACCTCTAAATTCAAATTTTTATTCTGACCGGAATCATTGCTCTTTGTTTGAACCCAAAGATTTAGATCGCTTTCTCGATCCGTATTTTGAATAAGTTTGAGAGCCTTAACGAACAGAAGTAGAGGTCTATATCTTCATCAATGTAAATTGTGCATCAAATTATCGCAACCAACCGTGTTTTGAGATGCCAAAGGGTGAACAAGCTTTTACGAAATTAGACTTTAAACGGTGCCATTCTAAAAACATCATAGTAACCTGGTCTTAAATTCATAACCATTATGCGAGCTTCACAAAAGGCTGCTGCTTTATTCTTCAAAAAAAAAACGATTAGATGAGTCGAGAATGCCTTTTTGTGGTGCCACCAACTATGTAAGCAGACCGCCAAGCGATGAAAAAAACAGCAGTGAGACTTTTCAGAAGTCACAGTTAAGCAGTCAGACTGTTAAGCATAATTCAAAATGGTGTCGGTCGTTGTTCATTTTTAGCACATATGACGATAAATACAGAAAGTTAGTATGTCCTAGGAGGGAGGAGGTGACTTTATTATTCTCCGGTATAAGCGGGAGTCAGAAGTCACTGCTAATGTGACGTCACATAGCGACAAAACAAGCGCCTCGCATAGCTTGCTCAGTTTAGCGAGGGAACGCTATCAGTAAGAAACAAAGAGAAGGCCAATAGAGGCCATTTTTAAGTTACTACTAACTAATTTACCATGTGTGTGCGAGGTATGTTGTATATATTGCCTTTGAGTATAATCGTTTATTTTTTTGTGAAAGTGATTGTCTGTAATTTCACTGATGACAATTCTGGGAAAGTGAGCTGTCCGCCATATCGACTTTGGAACGCGTCAAGACAAACCGAAACTAACGATGTCTTCTTTGTAAGCCATTGGTTGAAAGAGCGTGCTTCATCAGAGTACAAAGCATAAGCTGAGCTAAAGCTTTTACGCCATCTGCCAAATTGTATTATGTCCGACCTTTTCCAGGACTTCTCTCTGGCTTTTTTTTTCGTTGATTGATAGTGAAATTTCGTAACAAGCGAGCCGAAAAGTAGCAACAAAAGAACCAAACAAACATGCCAATAGTCGTAATTTACCTTATTTTATCACATAAACTACAGTGTTATACAAGGATTTCCAGCCCTGAGAAAAGCCGTGACAAAACACATGAAAAAATATCGTAGTTTTTCACGTGTGTTTGATATCGCCAATCAGCTGCTTACACGTCACTCGCCTTTAGCGCCACTCGGTCGGGTTGATCAATGAACGACAAAGCCTTCACAATTCTCAATACAAAGTAGTTTGTCGGAATTTTTTGCGGATTATGGCTGCCAAAACACTGAATACTCCATATCGCTTACAGACAGTGATATTCAAGCTTTCCTAGAAAGGGAAGAACACCAAATACGGAAAAAAAGCGAAAGTTACCTATTCGGTGGCTTTAGTAGTGGCATTCTTGAGGCTGAGAACGAAAACGACAAATGAAAGATTTGCCACAAACTGATTTTGGCCGTGTATCTGAAAAATTTCCTTTGTCGGTAAGGACAAAATCAATAACTGAGAATTTCGTATATTGTAATTTTTGACTATGGTTTTTTATTATAGTGTTCCAACGCATTTTTTCACGTTGAGCCTTAGCGCCAACGCACTGTTGCGATTTTTATCCGGGGATTGTCGATCCATTTACTAATAAAGTTGACTTTCATTGTCAGTAAAAGGCTATTATGTTTATAAGATAAACAAAATAATATATGGTTGCTTGAAGATATGGAATTATTCTTCTTGTGTTCAACTCGACATCTCACTCGTTCACTGCACTCACTCGTGAGCTATCGAGTTAAACACTCCAAGAGAAATTCCATATCTACGCGCGCCCATGTATTATTCTCTATATAACGTTAGCAAAGACGAAAATCCTCAAATAGTAAACGTATGGACATTTGAAGGTTTTCACGCTCAGTTAGATTGCAAGCTTAAGTACGGTAATGAAAATCAAACGCAGCTAACTCTCGCATAGTATATATAGTTTCGTGTTCGAAAACAAAACATAACAAAACAGCAATGATGAAAAATATAACCAAACTGACATAGCTATTAAAATTCATACTTATCATGACAGTGTCAGACTGACTGCAATCGTGCTGAGGTCCATCGCGGCTAGCTCATCATCGCAGTCTCCGGTCACACCAGTGAAGCAAGCCTCAGAAATGACATCGGCCGCCCTTCGAGTGAACAACTAAGAGCTTGCTCTGATGTCCTTTCCGATGCTTTGAGTGGAAGGCTACATTAGTCACAGCAAGCAAGTTTTACGGCGTTGTCATCCCAAGCAATCTTCATTTTCTTGTGAATTCGGCTGTCGTTCATTCATAAAACACACGCCTTGAGCAGTTTGTTTTCTAACTGTCATGTGAAAAAACTTGTGATTTATTATGAGCCACAATTCGGCCGCATTTCACTGAACGTTTCACTTTCAGGTTCAATTTTAAAGACTACAAAAAACTTCAGGCAAACGTGTTAAGTTCGACCAGCCAAACTATTTCAGTTTGTAAACTATTGCAGATTGTGGATTTTGATGATTTGTGAACTTAAATGGTTCGACATTTTCGACAGCTTTAGTCTTCTTCAACCAATCAGATTATTTGAACCATTCTCACAAGGATTCTAATTGCCTTATTGCGGAGCTGGCTTTGAAAATAAATTTAGTTTTGAATATTGAAAGTAATGTTGGGGGGATTCTTTATTAGTAAACAAATAGAGAAGCCTTGACGGTGCTCTGTTCCGTTGGGAAGCACTTAGGAAGCGGTTAGTGCACTCAAAAAGTGGGGAGAAGCACTCGACTACGTCTTCCTACACTTCTTTCGTGCTCTGGCCGCTTCCTGAGTGCTTTACAACAAAACAGGGCACAGTCAAGGATTATCTATTTGTTAATTACCATTTTTTTGAAGACCGCCCTGTCTGTTCATATTGCACTATGAGATCTTTCTTTCGCTTTCCAAAGCTTGTAAAAACGTCCAAATTCTTTCTATATTCCTTTGAAGGTCTATGAGGAAAAAAGAAGTTTTTCTATTCGGGTATTTTAAAAACAGAGCTTTTCTCAATCAAAGTCTGGATGTTGTAACTATGGTAATCAATCTGTCATTGTATTTTCTTGAATGATATCACAAGGTAAGGTTTTTATAGCATTGACCAGTCAAACCTTTTATTTTGTTTTAGCTTGCCATCTACATTTCTATTAACTAATCTCTTCTTTTTTTAGGAAAGTTTTATACAAACTTTTCTTAAGGAAAATGTTAAAGCACTGTGCAACATTAAAAACAGTACTTGAAATACTCTTACCTCGTGCTGTTATCACTTTTAATTGAAATTAATCTTTACTTTGCTTGAAACCGTTAGTAAAAGAGTCACAGATACAGCCACCATTCAAACCTTTTTCGGAGTTAACTGAACATAGGAGAGTTTTCGTTTTAGTTTTATAACCTACTGATAAATCCAGGCTTTATATAGATTGGAGGTCTAAAAGAGCTCGGTATACTCAAGTACAAAGGACCAGGGAAACGGAGAGACGGTAGAGGAAACGAAAAATTCGGCTCTAAGATGTGTAGGTCGGAAAGAAAACCGATAGAGGCAGTAAGGAGTCGTCACCCCGCTAAACCTCCTCCTTGAGAGTCATGGCTAACAAAACATCTCAGTTCGATTCCTCGTGAGAAACCGTGCAAACCTGACAACCAGTGTGAGTTTGCGGTGCCGAAATGTATGTTCATTAATATCTGCAGTCTCTCCAAAATGAAGAACAAGGTGCGGGCGTATGTTGCGCTGGAGGCAGATTTGAAAAACCATGATGTTGATGTGTGCATTGTTACTGAGAACCATTTAAAGCTAGATCAGCCCGATGCTGTGGTGAATATTGCGGATTTTAATATATATAGGAGGGATAGGAATTGGTCAGGACTTGATATGAGGAACAAGGGCGGCGTGGCTGTTTACGTCAAGAAAAATCTATCTGTTGTGGATATTTATCTCTCAAGGCTTTATGAAGTAATTTGCATAGCTCTCTGCCCCCCCTACGGGGTATAGATTTCTTGTGTGCGGAATTTATCACCCGCCTAAACATAGTTATGCAGAGAACGATATAATGAACTATCTTATTGGCTACACGGATAATGTACTTGAGGCCCACCCACAAACCATCATTGCTCTGGGCGGAGATTTCAATCAGTCGGACATGGATGGATTACAACCTTTGTCTGGCTGGAATGTACTGGTTGATTTCCCGACGTGTGGCGATTCACACTTGGATAATTGTTTAACGAACCGGCCCGATTTGTTTGCAAGGTGTTACCCTTTTTACGTGTCACCAAAATCGGATCATTGAGGTGTGATTTCGCCCGCAGGATCTAAACTTCGACCTGTGCGTCGTAAAGTTAACATCCGGGACAGACGTCTACATAGGAAACAGGATTTGTACATGGCTTTGGTAGGAGAGGACTGGGGAGAGGTAATTGATACCGAGAATGTAAACGAGGCTGTGAACAAACTGGAGACAACGATACGGGGTCACTTGGATAGGTGTATGCCAGTAAGGGTGGTCACTATGTCATCACGTGACCCTGCCTGGGTGATCCCTCTTGTTAAAGCCATTTTGAGGTCGAAATCGAGGGTGTCCGATGAAACTAGGCTGAAAGAGTTGAATAAGAAGATTTCGGAAGTGATTAGTGAGAACATAAAGCGATAAAAACTGGAGCATTATGTCTAATCTGAAGAAAACGGCAACCGGCCCGGACGAAATTCCTTTTTGGTTTTCAAAAGAACACGCGGAACTTCTAACCCCGGTTATCTCTTATGTGTGGAATCTTTCCCTTCAATTCATTCCTCGCCTGAATCTTGGAAAAGAGCGAACATCAGTCCCTTACCTAGGGTTGACGTACCTAAGGAGAATGGTGATTTCCGGGGAATCAGTGTAACACCGGTGATTGCTAGAGCTCTTGAAAGGGCTGTATATAAAAATGCAACACACATGTCAGACGCGTCATGGAGGATCACCTGAGCAGTAGTCGATTCGCGTACAGAGAGGGTGGGAATTGCCCATCTGCGCTCCTATCTATTCAGCAACAGATTTGCAAATACCTAGATGATAATAACTGTAAAGCTGTGCGACTTTTTACCATGGATTTTTCCAAGGCATTTGACTCGGTGAAACATAATCTCTTGTTCACCAAGCTAAAACATCTATCTCCATATCTTGTTAATTGGTATCACAGTTTTTTTATCTGGTAGGCAGCAACGCATTTTGTCTGGTAACTATCACTGTAGGTGGAAAGCCGTCAATAAGGGAACTACACAAGGTAGTGTTAGTGGCCCCCATCTCTTTAATATTTTTCTTAACGATCTTGAAATTACATATGATGGCTTCTCTGCGTTATTCAAATATGCTGATGATTCAACAATTGTTGCACCGGTACTAGCCAATACTGATACCTCTGTAACCTTAGTGAATGAGTTTTTAAATTGGTCGCGAGAGAACTGTATGTCATGTAATCCTAGTAAATGCAAAGAGTTTGTAATTAGAAAGAAATCGAAAAAGGATACCTATAGTCCAGTCAATTGCATTCCATAACATACTGAATTGTGCTTACTCGGAGTCACACTTCAGTGTGATTGGAAGTTTAGTTCTCATGTTAAGGTCAAACTAATTAAGGCTAACGAGTGCCTCTATATATTAAGAGCTCTGAGAAAGGAACAATATGACCAGAATGAAATAGATCTCCTTTTTAAGAAAATTGTATTACCTAATTTAACTTATGGCCTTTCAGTGTACGGTGCGTATGAACGCGATCTAAACATATTACAGAGCTTTTTAAACAGATGTTACAAGCGGCGTTATATTTCAGTTCCATTGAATGTCCAGGATATCATGCATATGCAGGATAAGAAATTATTTAGTGGAGCTAGGACCCTAAGCCATCAGCCGTTAAATGAAATTCTGCCGAAGCCTAAACCCCAGCGATATAATTTACGTCGCAAGGTTTGCCTCCACCTAAAGATTAACACAGAACGTTCCATGAACACAAACTGTTATAATTACATAATTTAATTTTGGCCATCGTATATTATTGTAATTATCATTACAGTTTCTCGTTTATGTAACATAGAATATGTATTTTTTTATCTCATGGTTTATGAAAGACTTCAAAGACTTCAAAGAATAGAAGGTCTCCTAATTCAATACATTCTTCCCTTTACAGTCTTAAAAGTTCCGGCTTTCAACTTCGGATATAAAGCGCTTCGAATAATTGCAAGTTAACGGGTCGTTTTCTTGTAAGATCACGTTCAATGCTTCCGATGTAGAGTTTTTCTGATGTAGAGTTTTTTTTACATCCCTTGTATGCTTGTGATTAGGTACCCAGCGTTTTCTGCAGGCACAGGTTGGTTCTTTGGATGGGGTGAAAAGTTGAACGATAACATAACAACAATCTAATCCAAAAATACAATTGAGGTATTTCTAATGAGCATTTTGAGCCTGCGTCAAAGCTTTTTCCCATCACTATTACTTTAGAACATAAAGTCACACGAAATGGTATGGCAGGACTGATAACAGCAAGCATTAAGGAAACAAGAGCAAAATGAAGCTGAAGTTCTTATATTAAGTCATAGGTTGCATACACACTTACAGGCGTTCACT